TTAGCCCACGCCTCTCAACTGTCAATCAACTGATGTCCCCCCCCCAAGAAGCATTCCGCAGCAGCTGTCTAACTCACAGGTACCTATTTACTGCTAGGTGAACATGCGCATCAGGGTGAAAGAAACTCTACCCATTTGTTTCCGCCTCCGCCGGGAATCGATCCATGGTCCCTAGGAATACGACTCACGAGTGTATGTCTGGTCAAACGTACAAAACTAGAGTTATACCCCAAAAGGTTCGCATTTTGTATTTTTGAATTAGCCTAAATGACGGGCTCAAAAACTGGAACTAAAGTACCTAACCTGTCCAAACAAGCCTAGGCCTATTGCAGTACATATATCTGCTATACTAGGCCCAGAAATATATAATAATCACCCCCCTACCCCCCCCTACCCCCCCCCCCATCCTTAACTTCGCCCCCCCCCCTCACCCTCCTCCAGCCATAGCTACCAGTGGTGAGCCACGCGCTGTCTGCTACAGAAGACATATTTCTGTACCCGAGGGTGGAGAGAGTTACTTAAGTTTTTTGCCGGCGTCGTAAATGGTGAGTTTTGTGAGGCAACAAAGTCATCTGCTTTAACATGGCTGCCAGCATCCCTCGGGGGCTGCCAGCAACCCTCGGGGCTGCCAGCAACCCTCGGGGCTGCCAGCAACCCTCTGGGGCTGCCAGCATCCCTCGGGGCTGCCAGCATCCCTCGGGGCTGCCAGCAACCCTCGGGGCTGCCAGCAACCCCTCGGGGCTGCCAGCAACCCTCGGGGCTGCCAGCATCCCTCGGGGCTGCCAGCATCCCTCGGGGCTGCCAGCATCCCTCGGGGCTGCCAGCAACCCTCGGGGCTGCCAGCAACCCTCGGGGCTGCCAGCAACCCTCGGGGCTGCCAGCAACCCTCGGGGCTGCCAGCAACCCTCGGGGCTGCCAGCAACCCTCGGGGCTGCCAGCAACCCTCGGGGCTGCCAGCAACCCTCGGGGCTGCCAGCAACCCTCGGGGCTGCCAGCAACCCTCGGGGCTGCCAGCAACCCTCGGGGCTGCCAGCATCCCTCGGGGCTGCCAGCATCCCTCGGGGCTGCCAACATCATCCGGGGCTGCCAGCATCCCTCGGGGCTGCCAGCATCCCTCGGGGCTGCCAGCATCCTCGGGGCTGCCAACGTCCCTCGGGGCTGCCAACATCCCTCGAGGCTGCCAGCATCCCTCGGGGCTGCCAGCATCCCTCGGGGCTGCCAGCATCATCCGGGGCTGCCAACATCCCTCGGATGTTTCTGATTGGCGGAGACACGAAGTCGGTTAGGAATATCATGGTCATCCTACCCGGGATGCAACGCACAACAGTTGCCTAACTCCCAAAAGGTACCAATTTACTGCTAGATAAACAGAAGCATTGGGTGCAAGAAAACGTTCCCAAACGTTCCCTCTCTGGCCAGGAATCTAACTGAGGTACAATCAAGTGTAAACACACTGCAAATAATTATTTTAATAATAATAATAATATTATTATTATTATTATTATTATAACATGATGCAAAAAAATTGTACCTGCCAATATTATTATTATTTGCAATATCACTGTGCAATCTTGGTGCATCAATTTGGGGCCATATCTCCGGGGGGTTTCTGACGTGACATTATGCAATCTTATCTGCAACAAATTTGTGCATCTTTCTAGGTGCAAGTTGCTAGGCGTGACTGAGGGGTGGGGGGGGGGGTTCTGAGTAGGTGCTGGGAGGCCAACTGAGTAATACAGACGAATGTTACAGTTCAGAATACAGACGAGGCATCTTACTCCCGTAAAGTGACGCTGCTTTCTTGGCGGGATTTGAGGAAGGAAGGAATTATAAGAAGCGCCAAGCCTTTAAGACTATATAGCAATGGGAAGGGATCAGGGTAAGTATTTGGGATGGGACGAGGGGAAGGAATGGTGCCCAACCACTTGTGGACGGTCGGGGATTGAACGCCGACCTGCATGAAGCGAGAGCGTCGTTCTACCGTCCAGCCCAAGTGGTTGGGAGTAATCATTAGAGAACTGGTAAGTGTGGTATTTGAGCGATCTCTCAGCTACTGGATCAGTCGCCCTGCTGCTGGGACAAGGTGCTGGGATGGGAGGACAAGGCGCTGGGATACAAAAACAAGATGCTGGGATGGGAGGACAAGGCGCTGGGATACGGAAACAAGATGCTGGGATGGGAGGACAAGGCGCTGGGATACAAAAACAAGATGCTGGGATGGGAGGACAAGGCGCTGGGATACAAAAGCAAGATGCTGGGATGAGAGGACAAGGCGCTGGGAAGCGGGTATGAGAGAGAGAGAGAGGAGGGGGGGGATTAATAGCAGACTAAATCAAATAAATCTATGCAGTAGATTTAAAAAGAAAACTTGATAAAACACCTCCAAAGGGATACCTGTTCATCCCGGCGGTGATTCTTACGTCAGACTTCGAACAGCTGCGCCTAACAGCCTGGCTGACCAATTATCAAAACACAAACCTGGCCCCCCCGAGATCTGAAATGGGGAAGCAGGAAAAACTTCCATAACCCGCTCCACGCAAGGAGTGGCTGGCGTGGAAGAAAGTCTACGGGGCATGTCTGCCGCGTTTCACTATGACGTCTCGCCACCGCTCACCAGTTCAGCTCCGGTCCACTGCAGGCTTGGACACATTAAAAGGTCAATAGCAAGCTTTCGGAGGAAACCCTGTGGCCTCCGACCTGCACCTGGCTACCGGCGGGCCCCGACCTGCACCTGACCACCGGTGGCCCCCGACCTGCACCTGGCCACCGGCGCCCCCCGACCTGCACCTGGCCACCGGTGGCCCCCGACCTGCACCTGACCACCGGTGGCCCCCGACCTGCAGCTGGCTACCGGCGCCCCCCGACCTGCACCTGACCACCGGTGGCCCCCGACCTGCAGCTGGCTACCGGCGCCCCCCGACCTGCACCTGACCACCGGTGGCCCCCGACCTGCAGCTGGCTACCGGCGGGCCCCGACCTGCAGCTGGCTACCGGCGCCCCCCGACCTGCACCTGGCCACCTGAGGGCCCCGACCTGCAGCTGGCTACCGGCGCCCCCCGACCTGCACCTGGCCACCTGAGGGCCCCGACCTGCAGCCTACATCAAAGACTGGCTTCAAGAAGCTCAAGAACACCCAGTCCGGGCCCGGGCGATGTTAGAACTTGGACAAACACACTTCACCCTCCAACCCTCGAGGCTCTGCCGTCGAGTGTGTATAGAGTCCCTCAGGACTGTCTCAGGGGTTGTTCCAGGAGCAAGACCCTCTAAGAGTCCATCACGCTCCCTGCGACAAGTCCATCTGCAAGTCCCTTAATCAGCATACTTAAAAGTATATCTAGAGTAATTTTAAAATTAACTAATATGTTCAGATTAAGATCAATATAACAAAATGTTCAAATATATAATAATTGAACATATAACTCCCCATGTAACTTCATTAGTTCTAACTCAAGAATATATATATATATATATATATATATATATATATATATATATATATATATATATATATATAAATATATATTTAAATATATATATATATAAGGTACATCCGGTGTTATTTTAAGGGAAATTAATATTTCAGTGAAAATCTGATTATATGTGAAAATTTGAAACTCTGATTTTGAGTGGGACAAAATTCTTTAAATTTTTATAATTCTACTTACAACTTCCTCAGTTTCCAATGCCAGTTCCAATTATAACAATCTCTTGGAAGACCCAATACCTAATAGGGCCTCTCTGCCCAAGCATAGATGCCAGATCCTCGAGGCTAACCTCACCCAACTTTGCAGAGTGACGGGTGTGTGGCTAGGTACCAACATCGTGAGGCAGGATTCAGGCCCATAGTTCAAATTAAAATGGAATCGGAACCCATGGCTCCACTCTTCACCAGGTCTATTCTACACTTCCTAACATATCTTTAGCTCCAATAGATAGACATGTTGTTGCTCTGAGAAGCGACCATCCATTATCTTCCAGGTATATATTATGTCATAACTCTCTTGTCTCCTTACTAGAGAGTACATTTTCCTTTAAGACGGTTCTAATAATTTAAGTCCTTAACTCCGTGTGTATATATTTCATCAGCGTTTTGCTTGTCTTCCAGGGCAGCCAAGTCCAATATGACTTGACCTTAAACTGCCTTGGAAGACGAACAAAACGCTGATGTAATATATACAAAGATTTTGCAAAGGCGTTCGACAAATGTGACAATGGTGTTATTACGCACAAAATATCCTCAAACGGATTTATTGAAAAAAATAAGAAGATGGGCTTTCAATTTCCTAATGAAACAGAACCGAGTGTGTAATAATCAATAAAGTGAAATCCGGATCATCCACCGTCAAAGGCTCCGTACCCCAGGGTACTGTGTTTGCTCCAGTACTCTCTTCACAATCCCCCAGGGTATTGTGCTTGCTCCAGTACTCTCTTCATAGTCCCCCAGGGTACTGTGCTTGCTCCAGTGCTCTCTTCACAGTCCCCTAGAGTACTGTGCTTGCTCCAGTACCCTCTTCACAGTCCCCCAGGGTACTGTGCTTGTTCCAGTACTCTCTTCACAGTCCTCCAGGGTACTGTGCCTGCTCCAGTACTCTCTTCATAGTCCCCCAGGGTACTGTGCTTGCTCCAGTACTCTCTTCATAGTCCCCCAGGGTACTGTGCTTGCTCCAGTACTCTCTTCATAGTCCCCGAGGGTACTGTGCTTGCTCCAGTACTCTCTTCAGTCCCCGAGGGTACTGTGCTTGCTCCAGTACTCTCTTCACAGTCCTCCAGGGTACTGTGCCTGCTCCAGTACTTTCTTCACAGTCCCCCAGGTTAATGTACTTGCTCCAGTACCCTCTTCACAGACCCCCAGGGTACTGTCTTTGCTCCAGTACTCTCTTCACAGTCCACCAGGGTACTGTGCTTGCTCCAGCACTTTTATATCATTCTTATATCGGACATAGACAGGACACAAACCGAATCCGTATCGTACCTTTGCAGGTGATACAAGGATTTTTACT